GGACATATAAACATTTTTTTAACATTGAACTTTATTAAAATCTTCATTTGACATCTTTATTCACAATAAAATCAATGTGATAGGAGAATGTTAGTTAACTATCAAAATAAACACCTAAATCTTTTATAGTATACTAGGTATAGTGATTTTTTCTAAAATAATATTACTTAACGAATACGGAAAGGAAATATTTGTTGAATTCTATAAAAACTAATATATTTACACTTAATAACATTAAGGTTCATGTGAGATTCAGTTAGATCTTAATCAAATACAATTATGGTGTAAAAAAAAATTTATGCATACAATTTTTTTCACACCACAATTGTATTTGATTAAGATCTAACTGAATATCACAGCAATCCTTAAAATACCTAATTTCCTTATATAATTTTACGTCGTCTGCTAATAACAAATATTTCCAACATTTCATTAATATCATTAATAAATAAATTAAACAACAGGGGAGAAATCTGTCCACCCTGTGGTACACCAGGGGTAAACTTAATTGTTCTAGACTTAAATTGATTCTGAACTATAACAGTTTGAATTTTAGAATGTAACAACTAATGCCTTAATTTTTGATAAAAGAATTTTTTACAGTGGTTTACAGTGTCAAATGCCTTGGAAAAATCGGTATAAATAGTATCCACCTGTTTAAAAAAAGGTTCGTTAATCTAGACGTAGACGTAGGCTTTCCTTCGCTAAATCGTTAATCAAAATATTTTTGAACACCGGTGTAATTTTGTGATATTTTTGATATTGGTCTATAGTTACCAATATAATTTCTAACAACGTTTTTAAAAATGAAATTACAAAACTTTATTTCCCTTTGTTAGGAAATTTGCAATTATTTATGATAAATTGTAAAGCCTTGCCAGAGGTTTATCTATATATATATATATGCATAATTTAAAAAAATTTAAAATTATTAATTAATTTTTATTTATTATTTCTTTAAAATTATTAATTTATTACCCAATAAATTATCCGTTGGGTAAAATTTGTTAACTAGAAATTCCAGTTCCGAATTAAATCTCAAATTTTCGGGGGGCCCGTCTTCTTCTTTACATACACCTACTACCTAAAAGTAAGATGCATACAACGAAAAGATTAGTAACATCTTTAGTGAATAACTTTCGATTGGCGTGACAAGTTACCGGGTCGCTTCTGTGTTTGGGTGAAGGTGATTGTGTTGATAAATTAAGTTTATATTTATTATGGGTAATTATTTTGTTTGTAAAGCACCTTTTACCACTGGTTATTATTATTAAATGCATGCATATAAAGTTTGACAGTTTAAAATAAATATTAATTAATATTAACATTAAGTTTTGATGATCATTAGAAAAGCGGATTGAAAATAATAATAATAAACAATTCTAGATAACTTACTACTAAAAACATTTTCTCAAAGGATTTTATATGTTTTGGAGGTGTTCTTTTTATTTGGGTATTATATAAATTACTTGTTTACAGTCTAAAAAGTATTAAAAAAAATATTTTCTTTCCGTTATATTTTGACCTCCGTTATCATTTAAAAAAAAATCGTAAAACATACAAAAATATGTTATATATTATTGCATGATATATTTTATTGTGGCATTCAATTTTTTACTCTAAACAAGTAATTTAGATTACCTATACCCAAGTAAAAAAAAACAAATTTGGGACACCCTAATATACAGTGTGTCAACATATGGAAAACTTTTTTATATTAATTTTACGAGGTTTGTTAAAAAATATGAATCTTACTCAAGAGTAAAGTACCTTTATATTTGACAATATAAAAAATTCTTTTGGTTACAATAACAATGCAAATTTAACTGTAGTTACATGTAATCTAGGATGCACTGACAAACAAATGATTTATGATGATTTCTAGCAAGAAATGTTTGACATTTAATGTCAAAACATCAGAATTTGCTTATTACTTTCTGAAGGGAACAGAAAGGTTATCATATGTTATCATATGTTTGTAATTAATAAAAAAAAAATGTTCGGTATCGGTAATATAAGAAAAATTTGTAACAAAAATTTAATAAGGATGTAATTGCATATTAAAACATAGTTTTACATAAGTACAGTTTTCGATATTGTCACAAATAAAGGTACTTTACTCTTGTACCAAATTCATATTTTTGTCAAACCTCGTATATGACTGAAAAAAATTGATTTATTTTAGGTTTTAGGACATGCAGAACTTTTTGTAAGAAATAACTTTTCTTCGTAAAATTAATAATAAGAAAGTTTCTCATATGTTGCCAACTTAAGTAGATAATAGCACAACCTACATAAAAATAAAGGTAACTCGTACATAATCGGGTATGCCATGGATCCAGATCTCGAAAATGACAGAATAAGCATTGAATTATCCAAAATTTCGTTTTTTATACTTCTATTACGGAATATTGCTGTTCTAATATCACTTTTAATGTGGAATTCCATTAGTTGTTACAAAATATTCATTCTATCACTAGTTTGGATCAATCCGATTGGGTCATTTCAAAATCATCACTTAAACGTATTTAACCTTACTCTTATTTATTATCTATTTTCATAAGACCATATTCTATACCTTGTATATTATTAAAAAAGTGTATAAATGTTACCTAACCAACCTCAACTTTCAGTGAATGTTTAATATTTTTATAACTGATGATGACAGTTTCTATTTCTGTACCAAAACTTATAATTATAATTAATAGGTATTTTCGAATTCACCTTGATTTTTTTAAATATACCGGTATTTTGCACTTAACCTTTAAAAATGTGGCAATTTGATTTTCTTGAAATATTTCTTTATTTCATTATTTAAATTTATAAGCACAGGATTGCTAAATATCGATTATAAGACGTTATCTCACACCTACTAAAAAAAAGTATTGCATAAATTTGTCCATAAGGATCCATACACTTAACGCTTGAATAAGCTACCTACATTGTAATATAACTCTTAATCATATAAATGATTTGCATGGACAAGAGTTAAACAAATATTTAAAGGATAATTTATAATTGCCTTGTCTGTATTTAACTACTTTCAAATTATTAAAATTGCGGATCGAATCATTTTGCCAATTAACTGTTTTTTTCGTGTTATTCAAAAGGAATGAAGTAAATGAAGTGAATGAAGTGAATGAAATGAATGAAATGAATGAAATGAATGAAATGAATGAAATGAATGAAATGAATGAAATGAATGAAATGAATGAAATGAATGAAATGAATGAAATGAATGAAATGAATGAAATGAATGAAATGAATGAAATGAATGAAATGAATGAAATGAATGAAATGAATGAAATGAATGAAATGAATGAAATGAATGAAATGAATGAAATGAATGAAATGAATGAAATGAATGAAATGAATGAAATGAATGAAATGAATGAAATGAATGAAATGAATGAAATGAATGAAATGAATGAAATGAATGAAATGAATGAAATGAATGAAATGAATGAAATGAATGAAATGAATGAAATGAATGAAATGAATGAAATTAATGAAATGAATGAAATGAATGAAATGAATGAAATTAATGAAATGAATGAAATGAATGAAATGAATGAAATGAATGAAATTAATGAAATTAATGAAATGAATGAAATTAATGAAATTAATGAAATGAATGAAATGAATGAAATGAATGAAATGAATGAAATGAATGAAATGAATGAAATGAATGAAATGAATGAAATGAATGAAATGAATGAAATGAATGAAATGAATGAAATGAATGAAATGAATGAAATGAATGAAATGAATGAAATGAATGAAATGAATGAAATGAATGAAATGAATGAAATGAATGAAATGAATGAAATGAATGAAATGAATGAAATGAATGAAATGAATGAAATGAATGAAATGAATGAAATGAATGAAATGAATGAAATGAATGAAATGAATGAAATGAATGAAATGAATGAAATGAATGAAATGAATGAAATGAATGAAATGAATGAAATGAATGAAATGAATGAAATGAATGAAATGAATGAAATGAATGAAATGAATGAAATGAATGAAATGAATGAAATGAATGAAATGAATGAAGTGAATGAAAAAAATGAATGAAATTAATGAAATGAATGACGTTAATAAAAATGAGGTGACCTTGTCCCTTGCGGTACACCAAAGTTATTTATGATATCATTGGATTGGCATTTTTATATATAACATTTTGAGTTCTGCCAGTTGGATATGATTCAAACCATTTTAATACAGTTCCACCAATACCAATCTTATATAGTTTTCTAAGTGAAAAATTTCTGTTAATAATTTTAAAGGCTCTACGAAAGTCTAAAAAAAACTGCGATGACATATCCACCTTTGTCAAGGGCCTTAAACCAAACATCCCTCACATTTATTATCACAGACTCACAGGAATGATTGTATCTAAAACCAGATTGATTTTGTACTATCACAGAATGATTATCACAGTACTCAAGCAGTTGATCCTTGTCAGCGAATTCTAAAATCTTCTCATATGGAGGAAAAGTATTTATTTGACGGAATTCTTCACATTTTATTGTAGTTTAACTTTTGGGAAAGGTACAATTATAGATGTTTTCCAGTACTCCATTATTTAGAGAGTTATTTACAACATCTATAGGAAACGATTTCCTATTACCTCAAAACTTGAGTAGAAAATTTGTTGAAAATCCTGTTTTTATATTGTTGGATTTCTTTAACGTTTTTATGTATTTTTTTAATATATGCATATCTAAATTTTTAGATTTTTCAAATGTTCCTCAATGTTGTTTGTAATGTTTTCATGGTTGTTGAAATTCCCTTTATGATTTCTTCAAAAATTACAAAATAAAACACGAAAAAATTACAAAATAAAACACGAAAAACAATCTCACTTATAAGAAAAGGATGTTTTTGCATTTTGGGATTCAAGTTTGTGATTTAAATCTCTGTGATTTTTTTTGTAAATTTTATTAAGTATTAATAAGGAATATAAAGAATTTAAACACAATAACCCATTTTAGGTTATCTCTCCCTAATATGTGTTTTTTTGGCACTAATGAGCGCTTCCGAGTCCAAGAGATCGGAAAGGCAAGCGGATAGAATAAAAGCTAGAATAAACCTGCCGTTTTCTCCAACTGGAGCTGGCTTGATCCCTCCCAACGTAGGAGCGCAAATCAACGCAGGTCTGTTCGGAGCGCCATATGGAAGACAAACCCCAAGACCCAATCTGCCAGTGGCTCCTGCGCCCGGCGTGGGAGGACAAACTCCCAGACCAGACCTTCCCGTCGCCCCCGTACCATTTGGTCCTTCGGGACTCTCCTTTAGCGGTTCTTTCGGCACTTCGGGACCAGCTGTTACCGTAGGACTGGATGGTATATCTTTGGAGCAGTTGATCAATGAGGAATGGTCGACTTTCAAGGTAGATTTAACATTTAAGGTATAAGGTTTAACATAACGCTCAACATTGTTGTCCCTTTAAGTTAACGTACAACAAAACGTACCCCTCCCAAGAAATCGAGAACTTCAGGAGGGAAATCTTCATCGAAAACAGAGGCAACATCGCCAGATTCAACCGAGAGTACGGCCAGGGCAAAAGAAGTTTTGTTCAACAATTGAATCCCTACGGAGATCAGCTTTTCCATGAGTTCAACAACAATCTTAACGGTTACAACAGGAGTCTACCTGATGGTAGACCTCGCCTTCCATTTCCAAATGGAAGTACCTTTATCCCCAGTGCTAACGTCATTCTTCCCGGCAATATGGATTGGAGACAGGTTGGGGCAGTTTCTCCCGTTAGAAGTCAAGGAATGTGCGCCGGATGCTGGGCCTTTGCTGCAGTAAGTAGTTTTTTTATCCTATTTGGCACTTCCGGATGGTGTATCCCTGATAGCAAAATTTGATTCTAAGAATCATCTAAGAAGATATGACCCGGAATAATGGAATATTCTTAGAACCTTCCCTTATTGCTAAGAATGTTCTTAGGGACTTTTAAAACATTCAATAGATACCCTTTTAATCATGCAATTAGATTCTTAGAAGCTTCTTAAAACCATCCTAAAAAGCATTCTAAGAACATTTTAAGAATACGTTTTTGGAATGTTCTTAGAAGGTTTCTTATGGAGCTTCTAGGAAGCTTTTGAGAATATTTCCAAATATGTCAGTTACCCACGTTCTAATATGTTGGATTCTACATTCGTAAAATTCTTCAGGAGGCGACAAATACGCCTCACTGTCATAATATGACAGTGAAATGTATTTGTCGTCTAAACCATAAGATGTATGACATTATTTCATAAAAAGTAAAATTGGAAAATTTTGTGGGATAAGTCAGATTAGATTGCAGTTGAAGATAGTTAGGATTATTATACATAAAAATGTTAATTCAGATATAAAAAATCGGTATACAAATTAATAAATATTTATTTTTAACATAAAATAAAATATAAAAAAACAAAATATTTCCTTATAAAATAATTCTTCATAAAAGAAAAAACCAAATAGTTCTTCATAAAAAAAAACATTTTTCATTGTATTTAAGTTGGATAGAAGATTTTATGTAAAAGCCGGATAATTTATATACCTATTATAGTAAAAGTATTTTTGTTATTGAATATTGTTTTTATTTAAAAAATAACTATAAAAAAATATTTTGGGTTGTGTTTTTTACTTAGTATTTAATACTAAGTTTAGGTACCTTTATACGTAGATTATGGTATATTTTACTATTATATGGTACCTAACTGAACTAAATATGCTTAACAGAATGTTCCAGGAATATTCCTAAATGAACTTTCTATAGCAATTACTTTCTCAACATTCTAAGCATATGTTTAGAGTGGATTAATTTTTACCACTAAACTTTGCACCTTCTAAGAACCTGCCTATAGGCCAGTGAGAATATTCTTAGGATTATGCTATATTTCTTTAAAGCGTGTTCTTTAGAAGAAATATAGCATGATCCTAAGAATATTCTCACTGGAAGGTTAAAAAAACGTTCTTAGAACATGAATAGAAGAAATATAGCATGATCCCTAAGAATATTCCCACTGGAAGGTTTAAAAAATATTCTTAGAATAAACTGTGCTATCAGGGATATTTTGTTGTTGTTCTCTAAATGTCTTAAATGTATAGGTACCCATATCGGATGTTAAATCCCTTAAATTGAAGGTATTTGAGCCCTCTAAAACTTTCTTTTACATACTTTTGATATCGGATAAGTATTTTGACGCTAGCGATTTTAATAACTTAAAACATTCGTTTTTATGGCAAAAATTGAGGTCGAAAATTTACATATCGTCCTGGGAAAGGTTTAAATCAAACAGATAACTCCAGTTTGAATTTTTCGTCAAGCTGATATTTTTACAAAAAAAAAACAAGCTAATGTTGATAAAAATACATGGAAAAATAGCCAAAATTCAGCTTTTTGACGATTTTTGAATTTTTTTTTCCTTAATTTTGTAATATGTTTATTCTTTAATGAAAACCTAAATAAAGTGCATGATTGGAATTTTTCAGTTTTTTACGTACTTTTTTCACCGAAAACATTATAAATTTGACATGACTCCGCAAACGTGAATTCTTTTGTTTCTTGTGTTGGCATAGTGACATTTTACTTATATTTTTTGATATTTCAACAAGGTATTTTTATTATGGTTTTATTTAGTTAATAAAAAGTGTAAAATGAGTAAAAGAAGTAGAGAGTTCGAGTGCGTAAATAACCCGGACAATCTGGGCGACGTAAGTGATGAGCACGGAGAACGTTTTCACCAGCAAATAAAGGCTTTGGAGCGGCGGTATCACGGCTTCTGGGATGCAGCCATGATGGGTCCCTCATACGAGAAATGGAATACGAAATCAACAAAAAAAAGGAGCCAGATTTTTTTTAACCTATGCTTCTTACAACAAAATAAAACTTTTCAATGTTCAATATTTATTGTTTAATATTCAATATATAATTTAATTTCAATATTTATGTTATGTTCAATAAAAATGAATGTTTAATATTAAATTTTATATAGTTCAAAAAAAATGAAAAAAAAACGTCAAAATTCTCGAAAAACTGAATTTTGGTCTTTCACTGAAAAATTCATAACTTCGCCATTACATTTTATCCATGGATTTGTAGCTTATTTTTTTTCCTTCAAGTAAAATCTATACGTAAAATAAATTAAACTGAACTTATCTTTTCGATTTTTATCTTTCCCAGAAAGATATGTAAATTTTCGACATCGATTTTTATAAAAAAATTACATTTTCAACTTCAGAAAAACGCTAGTATCGAACTACTGAGCCGATACTAAAACTATACCAGAGAAAGTTGTAAAGGGCTCAATTAATTACCTTTGATTTAAGTGCTTGTTTGGTCAAATCGATCAATTAGAACTCGAAGTATACACTAAAACGTCAAAACACCTTAGAAAAAAAAACAATTGAAAATTTATATCTCGAAAACGCTTCCAAACTACACAAGAAAATCATAGTGAGACATTAGTGGGCAAAATGGGTGTAAACTAGTGCTATGAAACAAAAACTAGTCGACTCCGCGCATGTGACGTGACGTCACTGACGTCACGTGCGAACCAGATTCAAATGTTACAAACAGTTTAGCTTAGGCATACGCTATGCACTGTTGTTTTACTATGATTTCTTTTGAGTTCTTTCCGAAATTATTGTGTTTTTCAAAGCATAAGCCACGCACGGTTTTGTAACGTTTTTACTGCATTTATTAAACAGCAATAACTATTTATAAGCCACGCACGGGTGTTTTATACCAGGTTATTTATTTGTTGTGTTATATTTGTTGGACTTAATAACTATTTAAAATATGCCAGCAAACCTACCGGTTTTTGTGTATCGCGCTGGTGTATCTAATAAAGAATATTTTTGAAAATATCATTAATGTAGAGGAATAAATATTAGATTTCCCAAAAAATAAAAAACACTGTTAAGATCTTTGTTAAGAATATAAAATGTATAATTACAAAAAAATTATCCATATTGCTCAATAACAAAATCTGCAAACAAAATATTACTTAAATAATTAATTATTGTTATGGTTTTAAGATGTTTAAATACACTCAGAGAAATATCATGACATGAAAAGCATATGAAATTATATTAATTTAAATAATCTGGTAAATTTGATTCAAATAGAAAAATTTGTAGTTTTATATTCATTTACCAACAGTTTTACACTTTTAAAGTGTACCCTCTTTAAAATATATTTACAAAAAAAAATCTATTTATTTCATTGCCTTTCTCAACGTTGTTTCAAAAATATAATATCTATTATACAATTGTATAATAATAATGTATAATTGTAATATGTATTATACAATTGATGCGTTTCTCGGAAAAACATCATTAGTCCAATATCGTCGAAATTTAGATATTAGCACCAACTGTTTCCTAACCTCCATATAAAGGTATACAAATAAGTGTTTCTCGTAAAAATGTCATAGGTTCCATAATAATAAAATATGAAATTTAGCTTGTTCTTCTAAAAACATCACAAGTCCACTCAGTTTCGTGTAAGAAAGTCACATGTGCATAACATGTGACTTTCTGCATACGATCTGCCAATACCAATTAAGAAAACAAACACTCTAGAAAAGCTTCTACCTCTTTTAGATGACCACAGCAATAGAAAATTTTATGATAACTTGATAAAAGACCAGAAGACCATAGCACCTGACAGTCCTGATAACACGGTCGACAACGATGATAACAGCAGTGGATGCGAAGATTGAGTGTGGCAGTAATACAGTTTTTAGTTTTTTCATTTATTTTGTTACTCAGAGTTAGTAGTAAGGACAATTGTTCGTTTTTTTCTTCTAAAAACCTCACATGTTCATGTATTTTTTGTGTTTTTTTCATATTCGTTTGAAAAAAAAACATGAGGAATTCTGGACAAAGTATCTTACATTTTTTTACATGTAGTGAATAGGTCAATAAAGTACTTTGGTCAAAAATGGGAATGTCGGAGAGTTTTTTTCATTTTCCCAAATATGTTAATTTTGGACTAATTATGTTTTTCCGAGAAACGCGTCAATTGTTATACACCTATTAATTTAATGGGACACACCAATGACGCTAAAACATATTTGAATCCCTTTGAATTATTATTGTTTTGAATGATTCTACAACATTTTTTCTCTCAGTGTAGGTACCTTAGGATTCTCCAGCCGGTTTACGTAATATTTACTTATATTATGGTGATTACAATTTTTAAAGAAATGTCAAGACCATCATCTATTAATACAATTGTGAAAGGATCGTATTTTTTTTTTATTTTATGCTAATTCAAGTATTTTATTTATTACTAGAGAAAAATTTAAATCAGCGCTTCGTTGTGTCTGAACAATTGTGTTGGGTGCTGTCATAAACCATGATGGTTTAAATTGCACTGAAAATGTCCAAAACAGATTTTGCAATAAGGATTTTTAATGATTTATTAAAATTGACACCCCACTTCGGGTTAACTCAATTTTTTTAAATGGCATCAATCTCATTGTGATACTTCACTAGAAAGCTATAGAAAATTGCTATTACTAAGACTTATTCAGACTTTTTCCGACTTAATAAGTCTTATTCTGACTTTTTCCGCCTTAATAAGTATTATTCATACTTTTTAAGAGAAAGTAAGACTTTAAAAACTCTTATTAAATATTTTTCCTTAAGGCTGGAGCTTTAGAAGGGCACAACTTCAGAAAGACTGGTTCGTTGGTGGAACTGAGCCCGCAAAATTTGATCGACTGCACCGAGGGAGGAAACAACGGCTGTAAAGGGGGAAACGTGAATCCCGCTTACGACTACGTCAAAAATAATCCAGGCATCGACACCGAGCCATCGTACCCGTACGAAGCAAAGGATGGGCCTTGCCGCTTTAAACCGGAAACCGTCGGTGGAGTATGCACAGGTAAAACATAAACATTTTTGTTTTTATAGTGGTTTCCATAAATGTTTTATCATCCAAATTATAAAACCTAAATTTCTTAATTTGGTTACAGGAATATTTATATCACTCTTATATACCCCTTAAAGAGCTTATTTACGGAGTTTATGAAGGTTATCGGTACCTATTTTAGTAACACTATAAAACAACAAATAAATAAGTTTTATAGCTAGAGATAACAGGAATATTATGGAAACCACTATATAACTTCCTAAAGAACTTCTACCGGTTTTTTTCCTTCTTTTAATATTTCTCTCTCCCTCAGGCACATTTAAAATATATATTTCTTCATATCTTTCTTATTGTCATCTTATTCATTAACTTGTTTAAACCAAGTGAATATTTTGAGGTGCCAAGTATAGCGAAAATATTAATGGTATATAATTTAAATCTAAGATTTTTTACTCAATACGACTTAAAGTGCAAAGTAACTTTTATTGTAAATATGTACATGTACAGAATACTTAAAAACAGCAGGGACATCAAAATACCAAAACATAAATATCTTTCTTTTGCCTACTTTAAAGTATTGAATTTTTTACCTTGGGTTATTATTATTATTAAAATTTATTTGATGTAAAAAACAATTATGCCGGAAAGAATGTATCAACCTTAAGCCCTCTTATATTGCTTATGGTAATTTTATATAACCTAAGGTACTAGTTCAGTTTTATAGGAGTATCTAAGTTACTTAAAGTGTTATTATATAATTTTAACTCTCATATACATTGTAGTAAGTGTCGTTACTACAAGTGATGTTATAAAACTTTTGATGGGCAACCATCTAACCGCTCAGGTTAGTGTTGTCAGGTTCGCCATTTTTGCCTGCTTTATAGTCCGGGAGGCAGTGAAGATTTTCGGTACTTATTTTCCCAGTTTGTGAATGTCATTAAGTTTGTTCAAATGGTGACACAAAACGACAATTTGTGTGTCTGGCTAAAATTTTCGGATGGGTTCACTAGATGAGCCAAAAAGTCAAGTCCACTTATTTTCCCAGTCATAAATATTTTACATTAATTAAAGTGAGTCATTTTATTAATGGAAATAACAGTCTGGCACATCCCAAGTGAAGGAAAGTCAGTCTGGCTGAAAATTTGCGGAAGCAAAAATTTGACCGGTTTTTGAAATACGTAGCCCTTATTTTCCCATGCTTAAAATTTAACTCATTATTTGGTACTGTCATAAACTATAATCAAAATTAAGTCTGGCTGATTTATGAAATTGGCAAATTGTTCTGGCGGCATCTTGAAAATCGTAAGAATTACAAAAATTTTGCTCTTATTTTCCCGGATTTGAAAATTTGTCACATGATAAATAATACTATAATTTCGTAGAAAATACACGTCTGGCTGTTATTTACAATCACGAAAGCCCCGCCAGACTCACAAGTCAGATAGCAGAAACTCGCGTTTGAATGGGAATTTTCGCGATTTTCTTTTTTTTTATTGATATAACTCAAAAACTAAGGGAGATACAATAGACTGCCAAGAGATCGATTTTGTAGATAATCCTACAAAAAACAACTGCACAAATTTTTCTTATCTCTGATAGTTACAAAGTTATTCGCGAATAAAGTTTTTTGGTGGCGGACGGACTGACATTTTTTTTTAGCCATATTTAAATTTTGCTTTACACAAATTATTTTCTTATCATACATTATGAAAAGTAAAAACATGTAGAGATGACAACAATCGCCTGTATAATTGAACATGCCGAATTTAGCGCGCCTGTGGAGGGTTGGACGAGTCTGGCAAGGCTTTCGGAGTGTTCCACATTAGCCAGACTATATTTGCAGCTGTAATTATAATATAAACTATCATCTCACAAAATTTTTAGGACTGCGAAAATAAGGGCAATGGTTTTGATAATTTTTCCACCTGCCAGACATATTACCCATACTCACAGATTAGCCAGACTATTTTTTTTCTTAAGTTCACTATATCTCTCACTAATGGAATTATTTTTATCACTGGAAAAAAAAGTGCAATATATTTGTACTTTATAACGCATTTTCCGCCTTAACCCATCGGAAAACCCCCCCCTAAATATATATAAATTTTGCTCAGAATAACAAACCCAATAATTGTATCGGTGTTTGCCGACTGGGAAAATAAGTACCGAAAATCTTCACTGCCTCCCGGACTATTATTAATGGTTTTAACGCAATTGAATCATTTTATTTCACTAAACATTCGATTTAATCCACTTTTAAAATACTTATGTTAATAATATTATAATACTTATATATTCCATGCTAAATATTTTCTTTTCAACCAATTTAAAATTAAAATTATGAAAAAGCATTGCGTCAAAAGCTAATACTATGCTTAATTTCTGTTTCAACACATAAATAATTATAATTAATAACTAAAAAAATTAAAGACAATAATTTTATAAAATTCCTTTATAAACCTACTGGTAACGGTTACTAAAGGTTATATAAAATGTTTGTAGAAACAATTATATAACCTAATTATATACAGTAACTTTATATGACCATTATAAAACTAGTAAACTAAATGGCGATTTTATAAAACCTTGTTAAACTCTTATATAATTTGACAATTCTTATATAACCTTTATATAATTTATCGTCACCATAAGTAGTACAAATTGTTTATTGGGTTAATAGCTGAGTGATCTTCTTAAAATCGAACTTAAATACGGATAAAATCAAATATTTTTTTACTTCCGACAATGAAAAATTTGTTCTTAGGCACCTCTAGAAAGTGCTCACCAATTTTGAGCTCTTAATATTAATAGGAAGATCCTCCTCATCACAGTTTTACATTTTTTATTTAGTCCCTTATAAAAAATACCATATTTCATTATTAATCAATCGTTTAATAAAATCTTTATACATATTTTTGTAGGAAATTGAATGCTCTACAAAAAATAACCAATGTGTTTAAGCGATTACTCTAACCATTTAAAAGATATTCAAGATCAAAGTTTAGAAGAATTTATTAAAAAAAATGTTTTTAATAACTTATTGAAAAATAATGCGGATACGAATCTTCTCAACGGTTAAAGTACGTAATTAATAAGGCCCGGATTTAGGTAAAACATCTTTTGTTGGTTTTTTAGTTTTTAAAGTTATTTTTTTGTATTTGTCCATTTTATTATTTTTTTGCAATTAAATTGTTTTTTTATACCTAAAATGTACTTTTTCTATGACCACTATGTAAAAGTCACTTTTCATGATGGCATCGTTGCTTAGAAAATGAATCTTTTCATTGTCAAGGCAAAACACGAATGTAAAGTGACATTTCTGTGTGAAAAGTGGCAGGTCTGTGTGAAAAGAACCGGAAAGCATCAAAAAAGTTTTTAGGTTATTTTGTTTTGTATTTAAAAATAATAAAAAATAAAAGGGTCGCAGAAAAAACATTGTGTTATACTTGTGAGAAAAGCTTTCTTCAAGCTCGTGTTAATGCACACTCGGCCTGACGGCCTCGTGGGCAACTTAATGACTCGCATGAAAAAGTCGCTTTTCAACACTTGTAAAACAAATAACTATTTCCTACCCAAAATGTACTAATTTTGCGTTTTATGCTCTTAGTATAATAGGTATTAAATTCATTAATAATAATAATAATAATAATGTTTGGCAACGCGTCTCACGACTCGTTGTGAATCATGCAATCGTTACCTAATTTTTTTCAGAGTTCCTATTATGTTTTTTTGTTATTTTAGATTTTCTATTACGTTTTTTTGCTAATTTACATTGAAAAACTTTTAATTGAATAAATCAGTTAATTTTTTTTATTTAAGTACCTAATATTTAGGCACCTAAAATAATAACCTAATTTTATAACTATATCACCTAATTAAGGAACCTTTTTTCACTTTTTTATAACCTAAAAATCCGGGCCTTAGTAATCAATTAAACACATCAGACCTTTTTTGTAAAGCGTTAAATTTCCTACAAAAAATTGTCATATTTATTTAACAATAATTACTTTTCAATAAGTTACAAAATTATTAAAAAAAAATGTTTTATATAAATTATTTAAATCTTGAATATCATTTAAATGGTTAGAGTAATCGCTTAAACACATCAGTCCTTTTTTGTAGAGCATTCAATTTCCTACAAAAATACGTATAAAGAGTTGATTAAAGGATTTATTAATAATGAAATATGGTATTTTTATAAGGGACCAAAGACAAAATTGAAAACTGTTAATATTAAGACTTCAAATTTGGTGATCACTTTCCAATTGATCAGTGTCGAAAGTAAAAAAAAAATCGATTTTTTAATCACCCTAATATTTTGAAAAATCTCGAAATAATCATTGAAGTATTTAAAAATTGTGCTACAATTATATTTTTTTTACAGATCAATAAACTACTAATAAATACAAATAAATTTAAAATAACACATGTATTCCAAAAGGAACACATATTTTAATGCGTGATTTCACTATAATTTAAAAAGGTAAAAAACAAAATTACTCGCACATTGCTTTCTAATTGTTCTTAAATTAGGTATATACGGTTAAATTTTAGTAAACATTTACATTAACCAGAAGATAATTTTCAAACGAAAGTAAATAAAATCTAAGATCCCAATAATTATGTATTTTTTTTTGTATTGTAAGTAGGTAGTAGATTAATTTAATTAATAAACGCTTACTTTAAGAATACCTAATTCAGTTGGTCCAAATTTTACACATAATAGTATGTTATTATACGAGAGATAATTATTCACAAGGATGAGGTTTGCGTCGCGAGTCGCCAGACGACTTAAATCTTCCCAGTGAATAATGCGCATAATCTCGAGTGTAATAATGTACTTTATCTACTCCAATAAGTAGATAATTAATTGATTTTCAAAAATAAATAAATATAATCTGACATCTGTCAAATGGTTAACCTCACTTTTTACCAATTTTAAATGTTATCATAGTCGTCTTCTCCCAATTTAAAACCCGATTGTGGTTTAAATCACAGTGAATATTAAAATC